ATGCAGTCATTTCAAGAAGTAGCTATTAGATAGGGTGAACAGCAAAAGAGATTTTGACGCACTTCTTTTGACACAAAACACTCTTAGCAACAAAAGTACATGCTAATGCGGCACACAAGGTGTTGGGAGCGATTAAATAAAAGTGACATCATTGCACCACTGACTTTGGATTACACCTCAGTTGGTCCTGGAGACATTCACTTTTACGTGTTTCAGCAGAAACCATACCCTATTACTAAGAAAATTTGGTGCAACCACTACCATAAATTATTGAGAGTGGCACACCAGGCAACAATATAGGGATCCTGGTGCTAAAATTCTGTTTATAAACCATGCTTTGTTTATCCCATCCCTATCTTGTTTCCCTTCCTACTTTATACCATTCCTACAAAAGCCCCTTGGCCCAAGGAACGTGGGCGCATGAGTTGATGATGTGCATGCACATAAATAACTGATGGACCCATTCAGTCGAAATTCGTCAATGGAGCTATTTTCACAGTTACCTGCATGCATAATACCACCCAATTCAATTTGATGTTGGCACACTTGCCATACACATCAACACTCCCCTTTGGTTTACGATAATATGTTTGCATCTCTTCAAAAGAACATGTGACCTTGCTTGCTACACCCTGCTACTCATCTACTGCTCTTATGTATGTGTGGTTTTTTGTCTGCTGCTGGTTTTGTGAAATTTGTATTTCACGAGATATGCCATTTTGTTTTCCTGACATGTCTTCATACTTACTCTGCAAAGACGTTTTGTTCGGTCACGACTTGTACCAACTTCACACGGGCAAAGATGCTTTTGTGATGTGAAACAAGGTTTTTTTAGGTAAAGTGAAAGTTTTTACGACCCCCAAGGAGACTATTTTGATAAAGAGAAGCGCTATATATAAGTGTTTTTACTATGATGAAAACAACAGTTCAAACCATTGACCAAGCATTGCTGAGACACAGCAATGTCTTGGATAACATAGTGCTACAGCTTCCATTGAGGAATTCTTCAATGTCATTAGTCTCGTAGATCAAGCCTGGGTCTGTCAAAGAAGATAATGGTGGTTATATTAAGGGGTTTCATAATAATAATGCATGGCTAGGTTTGTTTCACGCTATTGATGAAGCAGGCTTTGTGCATTTAAAAATGCACATTTTTTGACTGAGAATGTTACCTGCAGTAAAGTGTGTGCTTTCCATAACAGGAGCTCACGCTCACCAAAAATGCCTGTTGGGAGCTTGAATTTCTTTGCATGCACATAGATCGAGCCTGGGTCTATCAAGTAGATTGTTATAAAGCCCCAAGTAACAGAATGATATGACTGCAGAGTGTCTGGGAGGAGGTTGTGAGTGTGTGATTCCATGGCTGACAAGAATCGCATGGCCTGGATGTTCTTTCTATAAAGAGTCATGTAAGGATCCTTTGAAGTTTTATCATGGAACATGGAGAAAAAACCAAGCATCTTAATCTGACATACAAAGTGTTACCACAAATAGAGGGATGGCAAGGAGACAAGACAGAGATAACTGGTGTACGTAGGCAGTGGTACATTGGGCAAAGGCTACATACCAACAGACATAACTTCACCATAGCCATGGGGTTAGTGTGGTCTATGCTAGAATGGAATTCATGTGTGGCTATAGCTCTGAGTCAGCTACTTTGGCATAGGAGTTTAGCTTGGTTACAGGTCCTTCCTACACTAGAGAGTTTCAAAAGTGGCAACATTTTTGTGACGTTGCACCTGCATTTATGTCGCCCCAACCAAACACACTGTCGTCCTTGTCTTGTCTACTTCTCAATTTTACTCCGATAAACGTACTTGTCTCGTAGGTTTTTATATACGTAGTGTGCAGTAAAGAGAGGAATGTATGTATTTGGGGGGGGGGGCGCAGGAAGGCAGTCAGTTGCAAAGGAGAGCTTTATCCCTGAGAAAGGAAGACAAGCGGGTGCACACACTACTCACGCAACGCGCTACATTCGTATACTGCGTTATCTACGTAAAAAGCCACTCCAGTGGCTTTGGGCCCCAAAGATTAATTAATCAATACCCCATCTTAAGTACCACTTCATAAATAATTATTTTGCACCATCTAATACTCAGGGTATATCTGGTAAGACTACCGACTACCGTTCATTGCTGCTCCCAAAACATCTCATTATTTACACAACAAAAGCAAAAAATGTTCTAATAAGACAACAAAGTATGCACAATGCGTCGTCAACTACACGAGGAAAGGCGGGGTGTGCGTCACTCGTGCGGGTTGTCTCAGGCTCTGCCCCAGGCCAGAGGGTACAGTGGAACGGTGATATGGACACACTTCCAATCAGAAGGCCATCCTTGTTCCAGACCCTCGTCTCGGGGACCACACATGACTTGGAGTGCCCTCCTCTGTGGCAAGGAGGGAGACAGGAAGACAAACACAGAGAAGAGTGATGTGAGAGAGGAAGAGGACGATGAAGAGAGGTGATGTAATGGCGGATCAAAGATGAAGTTCCATGACTCTGCACTCTGCATGCAATAGGTGGTGGGTTCGAATCAGAACCATTTTTTTTCAATTCTGACTTACGCATGACTTACGCATGACTTACACACTCATCGGTCTACCATGCATGCATAGGTGAGCGGAAATGTGATTGATAATTCGAGTGCAAGAAGAGTACAGTGGAACATCTATAAGGGACACTTCTCTCATGGACATTGTTCAACATGCTGTCTTTCACGCAGGTGTTTCTTTTCTATTATGTGTATCACTGTCTATTAGTGCGTCATGTGGTTTTTACTCTCTCATTTTCCTTTTTTCCCAAGAGTTGTTTTGGACACTGTTTCCTCTCCTCTCCTTATCTCTCTAGATATATATGGATTTAATTTGAGATGACCTCTCTACAAGGAACAAAATCATTTGCCCCATAGTGTCCCTTTTTTGGAGGTTCCACTGTATCTGTTCTGTTCCCTTATTAACTGTTATGATCTGGAGTTTAAGTCACACATTATAAAGACGATGATGTCAAAACCAAGAATTGGGCAGTGACAGTTTTGCGCGGTGTAAGTGAATAATGCAGATATAATGAAAAGTGCAAACCCTCGGTGAACTGCGCATGCGCCATACCGCTAATTGATGGGCTGGGCTATCGGTATACGTTTCTCCCGCTAGTACATAGCTCGCGGAGAGTCTGGCACGGGCTAGCTACGCATGTCGCTCCAAGGGTTAATTATAGAAATGGAGTTTTACGACTACGAAAATTGTCGCATGTTGGGTAGTTCTCTCTCTGTGTTGAAATCATGTGAACTTCCCTGAAAGCCAGGCATTATACAATGGTGCTATATACTATACTCCACAGAATACAGTAGATGGCAGTACTCACTTCTCGCAGCACTGTACGATCCTCTGGTAGGCAATGCAGGCTGCACCCTCTCCTAACATGTGTACCTGTTGACAGGCGGTATCGTCATACAGTGTACTGTGAACTTTGAATAAAGAGCACACACAGGGACAATGAAAAGTAAAGAGGTGTCTTTTTTGGGAACGTCTGTACCCGTGAATGCTGAACACAACTTTGCTGTTGTAGGAGGTGTAGTTGGGCATGAGTGTGTAATTGTGGGAGGTGGTCACATGAGAGTCAGGTGACCTTGGGGCTGTGCATGGACTGTTGGTAGGAGGTGTAGTTGGGCATGAGTATGTAATTGTGGGAGGTGGTCACATGAGAGTCAGGTGACCTTGGGGCTGTGCATGGACTGTTGGTAGGAGGTGTAGTTGGGCATGTTGTCCAGGAAGAACTTGTGGAACTCCAGTCCCGACACCAGCTGTCCACACGTCTCTGGCTCAATGCACGTCACATCCTCTGCACACATCTTCCTGCATCCGGGGGGGACACATCATCCATGTACCACATGTCCTACTGTAAAGACCAACATTGTCCAGTGCAACTTTTTTGCGTGAGGCAATTAAGTCCCTTTAACGTGTCTGCATGCAATCCACTACACCTTTATTGTTGCTGGGACTATCATAGCGACAATATAAAAGATGCGTGAGACTTTTGTCCCACGCTAAAAGTTGCACTAGTGATGCTGGCCTTTATTTAAACAAGTGCAGTGTGTTCGCACACTTTCAGAGTGAGCAGTACAATCAATTAATGCATTATCCAATGTGCCTACACAACATTGCATAATATTGGCAATTTGACAGTAAAGATAGACCCGTGTGTTACTGTAAACACTGCATTAAGTAGTTTCGAGGACACAGAGGAGGAAGGAGGAGACTAACGAGTATTCCTTGATGTCCTTGGTAGCGATGACAGAGAGAAGTCGACCAGTGAGATCAAGGATCTCCTTCTCTTCCGCACTGGCGTCCAGCTCTGGGGAGAACACCACATGACTTCACAACGAGTCATATGTAGCATTGTAGTCTCAATTAAAGCACTTTTGTATTGAATGAAGGATGTTGAATGACCACAACACAGTTTGTCAGTGAACTGAGTCGTCTCAATTCTCTAACCCACTGCCCCAGTCCTCAAGGCTGGACACCTGGTGTCCACCTTTTCATGTGTTTACATAAGTGTGTTTTTTCCAAGTTTGTGTACTTGGGTGATGGCTGACTTGGCTTCTTTTAATCTGTTATGCTACACTTGTCCTTATTGCCATGTGGATCATCATGAGATTTAACAGTGTGCAAGGCAAGGAGTGTTGCGTCATTGTGGGGCCAAAGATAACCAATCTCTATAGACATAATAAACTGTATATACATACTTACCGTTGTCCTCGTGAGCTGTGGTGATAGGTGGCTTGGTATTGGCAGCAGCAGTGGCAGCTCTAACTGCAGGAGAACACTCACCCTTAACACACAGTTGATACCCCATAATAATATATGGCCTTCAACAATATGGCTATCTTTGGCCCTATGGTCCATTGAGTGCTAAACCAGCCACAAAATCAGTGCATACTACCTACAATTGATGCTCAAGAAGGAATGGAAAGTATGTATGAGTACAACAATATGGCTACCTTTGGCCCTATGGTCCATTGAGTGCTAAACCAGCCACAAAATCAGTGCATACTACCTACAATTGATGCTCAAGAAGGAATGGAAAGTATGTATGAGTACAACAATATGGCTACCTTTGGCCCTATGGTCCATTGAGTGCTAAACCAGCCACAAAATCAGTGCATACTACCTACAATTGATGCTCAAGAAGGAATGGAAAGTATGTATGAGTACAACAATATGGCTACCTTTGGCCCTATGGTCCATTGAGTGCTAAACCAGCCACAAAATCAGTGCATACTACCTACAATTGATGCTCAAGAAGGAATGGAAAGTATGTATGAGTACAGAAAGAATACTAACTCCGGGAAAATCTCTACAGTGGAACCCCTGAGAAAGAACGCTCCAATTAAAGGACACTTCTCAATATTATCTGAGGACACTTGTCTCTGATAGATTAGAGAGTATAATACTGCCTTGGAATAATGGACACCTCTAAATAAAGGACACTCTAAGTCATCCCCTATTCCAGAGTATAATAGTACGGCCTTGGAAAAAGGGACACGTGCCTCCGTATAAGGGATGCGTCTCAATAAGGACAGTCTAAGGTGCCCCCCTATTGGTACAGATTCCAGAGCATTTCATAACTCACAGAAAGAGGAGGACTTCTTGGTGATGATGAGGGCAGTGTGCATGGCAGCCTTGAGCTTCCTGCGAGCGTTGAACTTCTTGAGTCCCGTGATGGTTTCCTGCCTGTGCATCGTGGATGCCACCCTGTCACGGTTCTACGGAGAGAGAGAGAGAGTCAGGGGTGGGAGTGGTAAAGGAGGAGGGGAAAAGGCAGATGAATTATGGAGTATAGAGGGTAGGGAAGGAGGAGGGGAAAAGGCAGATGAATTATGGAGTATAGAGGGTAGGGAAGGAGAAGGGAGAGGGTTGTGTAGAGGAAGAGATGGAGGAGGGAGGAGGGAGAGGGTTGTGTAGAGGAAGAGATGGAGAAGGGGGAGGGAGAGATAGGATTTCTCTCTCTCTCTCTTACTTGAGAAGACATGGCTCGTACCCAGCAGACCGTACATTACAAAAGTTCCTGCTAATAAGTACAGTATATAGAGCTCTGACATACGTACCTTGACCCAGGGGTGGTCGAGGGCCTCCTTGGCGGTTATTCTACTGTTCTGGTTCAGAGTCAGCATTGAGTTGATGAGTTCCTTGACTGACATTGTCACACTGTCCCACTCTGGACTGGGGTACTGCACACATTATAGGAACAGTGTCTCATTTACACATACCCCTCAGATACTCTTTCACGGGCGAAGGCGCATTTATGCGCCCTACATAAATCTACGCGTGTGGCGATGCGCTTTTTGCGGCAGATTATAGCAACAGTGCTCTTTTACAGATACCTCAGATTATAGGAACAGTGTCTCTCTTACATATACCCTCAGATTATAGGAACAGTGTCTCTTTTACATACATATACTCCTCAGATTATAGGAACAGTGTCTCTTTTACATATACTCTCAGATTATAGGAACAGTGTCTCTTTTACATATACCCTCAGATTATAGGAACAGTGTCTCTTTTACATATACCCTCAGATTATAGGAACAGTGTCCCTTTTACATATACATCTCAGATTATAGGAACAGTGTCCTTTTACATATACCCTCAGATTATAGGAACAGTGTCTCTTTTACATATACCCTCAGATTATAGGAACAGTGTCTCTTTTACATATTACTCTCAGATTATAGGAACAGTGTCTCTTTTACACATACCCTCAGATTATAGGAACAGTGTCTCTTTTACATATACCCCTCAGATAATAGGAACAGTGTCTCTTTTACTAAATATTACCCTCAGTGCAGATTCTGAACATGAAAATGACACCAGGTTAATAACACACGTATATGAAGTATAATGGTCCAGTTTTTCACTCTCGCATGGCTAGCTATTGCAAGTCTTACTCTTGTAAGTAAAACCATTTCTAGCCTAGTCTAGTACCCATACTCTTCCCTGTAGAGAGGAAAAGGGTCTTGGGTGACATCTGACGTTTTCTTGCTTGTGCTGAATCAGCAGCTTTGTGATTGCCATGGTGATTGCTATGCAAGTTACGTGGCTTGCATGGAGCTTCACGTCTCTTTAATCACATGCTTAAATTCCATTCAGTGATTTCATTAAACCCTTTGGACACCATGAGTATCTGCTTTAATAAGCATGTATAAAGTATTAGTGCCTAGTATTATATAACCCCTTCATAAATCTTTCTCGACTTATGAAGGCTCTGGACACATGTGTCCGTGGCTGGTTAAGTGTTAGGTCACTAAAAAGTATAAAACTGATATATCAGCACAACCAAGATATCACTCAGTTTTCTCGGACCCTTCACCTTCTGAGGGCGGGGTCTGGGCATGAGACTATGTATGTACCTCTAGCCCACTTTATCACTAAGTACAGTAGTACTTAGTATATAGGGATTATACTAATGCTTACTGCAGCAAACACACATCACATTAAGTTAACACACGCACACAGGGTATACTGCTACATCATTTCCAGTTTCTTTTGCTTAGCTGCATCATACATACTCTCTAGTGCCACTCCCTATTCTCCGAGTGATTCAGGAATGAAGGAGCCAGTGGTGGGTGACTTACAGAGTATTTCCCTCTCTTGATCTGCTCAAACATCTTGCTCTGGTCGTCGTCCCAGAAGGGAGGGTAGCCCACCAGGAGTATGTAGAGAATGACTCCACATGCCCACACATCCACACCATAGGTGTACGGGTCTTTACGAAGGACCTCGGGTGATAGGTAGCCCGGCGTTCCTGCAAATCCTGTGGGGAAGAGGAGCGGAGAAGGGTAGAATGAGGCTAAAGGGGACACAACCTGTAGTATAGTGTGATCTTTGAGGGCACTCTGATTAAGTGCGGCTGCATAATGCGTAATTTCTACTACAGGCACTGAATTAAGGTCAGTTGCAGTATGTGCTGGCATGCAAAATTCCATTTGGCGTTTTGGCATGGGACTGAAAACCAGTTCTTGAAAGCACTACAGACTGTCCAGTTTTCCTGGGCCAGCTTGGCTCACTGAGGAAGAAGGTACGTACATTAGCGTGTATAAGGCCGCATGTGTTACAGCCACAAAAAAAAAGTGAGTTGAAAGAGATTTCGACCAATCAGATTCGATTACTGTGGCCCTATTTTTTATGCCGACTGCCTTTGCGTTGCCCGCCCATATCCGATCGACTTCAAACAAGTGTACGTTGACAAATTCTCTGGGTGTGCGTACAACATACTGAACTCACTAGCACAAGATCATATTTTCCCACTATACTAAACGTGACACATGATACATACCTGATATCATGCAAATCCACCGTATTATTTACCCACTTTTGTAACTGGACCTGTCAGCTGAGTTTCCTCATGTTTGGTAGGGTATCAGTATCGTTTGCAAGATAGTGCCCCCTCCCCCTGTCTGTATGTCTATACCCCCAGTTGCTGACGTTTCGGCATGCAATACTTAGAGAGCACTAGAAGCACTGATAGACTGCTCCGGTAAGCAGAGCTAAAGATTGGGTGCACCAAAGAACACCTTATGTAGTCAGTGCCTTTCGTTATGTGTAGCAGTGCAGACGGACAAACAGACAGACACATGGCAAAGTACTGCAACCCTCCAGAGGAGGTCGGACACGGTCAATTGAATAGTACAAGAACGCAATCTGCGCATGTCCAACCTCCTCTGGCAACCCTCTATGCATGCCACTGACAACAGTTCCTTCCTTACACATGCCCGGAAGTGGAGTAGGAACTGACCATAGTAATGCTTGCAGTCCAAGGCTTCCACCGCCAGACCAAAATCTGCCAACTTGACAGAGGCTCCCTTTGCTTTGCTGGCTAGTAGGAGGTTCTCTGGCTGTGGAGATGGAGGCAGGGAGGGAGGGAGGGAGAGGGTAGGAATGGAGTGAGAGAGGGAGGGAGAGGGAGGGAGAGGGAGGAGGAAGGTAGGAATGGAGTGAGAGAGGGTGGAAGAGGGAGGGGGAAGGTAGGAATGGAGTGAGAGAGGGTGGGAGAGGGAGGGAGAGGGAGGGAGAGGGTAGCAATGGAGTGAGAGAGGGAGGGAGAGGGAGGGAGAGGGAGGGAGATGGAGAGAGTAAAGAGGAGACTAAATAAAGGGGAAGGCAGAGAGAATTTATACACATACTACATATTAATGCTGAGTGCCACTGAAAGAGGCAGGTATCACACACAATACAAAGAGGACATTTTTGTGGTATTGTGAAAACCTAAATATGAAAGTGATGCAAGTTTTCCTTTGTGTGTAGGGCATCGCCATCTGCACCTGTACAGTACATCACATGTGGTGTTTTCACCTTGAGGTCTCTGTGTATGATGCCGTGGGAATGGCAGTACTCCACACTCTCCAGTACCTGCTGAATACAGTGGCTGCAGTGACAGACACACACCAGTGTACACATACCCCCTACATCTGAGTGGGAGTATACTGTGCCATAGTACAATGATTTGAGGTCTGCCTTTGTGTTGTAATGTGTTGAAGATTTGAACCTGAGTTGCCCTGGTACTAGCTCAGTTGGTAGAGCACTCCCAAGTGCCGTGGGTTCCAATCCCACCTAGGGCAGCTCTTCTTTTTTCTTGGAAAAAGGGCTGTCCTGGGTGTAGTTGATTTGTTTGTTGTGCCTTTGCCTTTCTACATCGTAGTTTACATACAACACAAACTAAAGCCTCGAATACTGTCGTAACTTGTTTATTTTACATGCAACTGTAAAAGCTCTAACACCATTGTAGTCCTCGCAACGCTCCCGTTCTGATGATATCCTTTAAAAAGTCAAAGTTGGCTGATGCCCCATAAGAAACGCATGCAGTACTTGTGTAAATAATGCGCAATGTTTCAGGTGAACGTGAATAGACTTTAGAGAAGTAGGCTTGATTGTCTTCTATACTATTGCCATTTGTACTAAAAGTCACTGCAAATAAATCCTTCTAATGTTTAGATGTGATGCTGGGGGTGAGTTGCACAAAAGCAAGGAAAGGTCACAGAAAAGGTCACACATGACCTGGGGCATTGGGTACAGACAACACACGCATTTAGAGGTTGCCCACAGAGCCTCATTTCGAGATGGTAGGAGATTTTGTTCCCAATCTTGCCCCACTCTCATGTCAGGAAACAAAGAAGAAGAGATGATTCATAAGACACAGCAGGTTCTCTTGTACAGGAAACCATTCTGAATGTGTACAATATTGAGCACTGCACAACTTCAGCCCCACAAGAATGTAGCAAGGCACAATGCCTACTCTGATGGACAGTTAACTCCGGTTCGCCCACTGTAATATTTGGAGCCAGACACGGCGGGAGTGTCACCGGTCATGTGGGGGGGCCCGGCCCAGCCCACGTGTGCCCATTGATGGAGTAGCGACGGATACCTGGCCCGGTCACGTGATCTCACGTGGCACCACGTGCTCTGACCACGTGGTCGCTTCGTACGCACGCACTGTGGCCCATAGCCCGTGCGCATGCGCATGGTTCGTCCTCGATGCGCCCCGGTGCCATGGGTCTGGCTCTCCTCGTTAACTATGTTTAACAAACTCCATTTAGCAACTGAAACACAGTGGTAGCTCTGTTTGATATACAATGTAGCTCAGGTTGGTGTATTAAGAATTGTTGGTACGATACTATATACCATTAGCTCATTGCTGCTAATATACACAAGGGAGATTACCGAACACCAGACTCTATAGACTGCATACAGAGTTGTGGTGAATACTACACACTCACAAATCCCCAAAAGACTATAAACCCCATTGCATATACTGGCATGACAATACTACATACGTAGTACTACTAGTGCCCGAATGCAAGGTGGAGCGAGCTAATTAATTGCATACCCAGAACACTTCACAGAAGACAGTAACAGCAAAGAGAGTGTGATTATAGCATCTCTCCTAAATCTGTTCCAGTAATTAATGCATTCAGTATTGTTAAGTGGAGTATATGGATCACGAGATCCAATCCGCTAAGAAAAATCCTCGCACGTAAATCCAGATTTTCAGAAAAAACAAGCTTTAGCTCTGATGTTAGATTCCATGTCGTAACGAGGCCGAGTATAAGGCCCATTTTACCAGAATATAACAGCTCTCAAAGATTCTAACACTGCATGTGCGTTCACACTACTAGAGGGGTGTATATATTTTTCTCATAATTATAAATGAATAGAGAGAGTAGTTCAATGTATAGCAGATCACAGTCTGTGAACCGACCACGAAAGGTTTCTATTGTGGGCAAGAGACTGGCTCTCCACAACAATTCTGTAGGTTTGCAATTACACATGCTCCTAGACTCAACCCCAGGGTCTCCGAGTCTCTCGGTACTTACTGCACGTGCACCAAATACTCCACATATCTTACAGCGTGACACACCAGTACAAGCAGTCTACGCCGTTTGGGACCATTTTACGTTCAAAGCAACCCTGCTTCTATGAACGATCATCGTTTTGACTTTGGCCAGTAGCAAGGCTGACACGTGAAGCAGTAGCATAGCCAGCATGTGGAAGCATGGTAGTTTGAGGTAGCCAGATTTCCCAGATTCTGTGGGATCATGTGCATGTGAAAACTAGAGGTAGAAAGGCAAAGGCACAACAAACAAGTTAACTACACCCAGGGCAGCTCACCTTTTTTCCTTGAAGGAAAAAAGGTGAGCTGCCCTGGAACCCACGGCACTCTGCAGTCTTGGCGAGTGCTCTACCAACTGAGCTACCAGGGCAACTCAGCTGGTAGGGATTTAAATCTTCAACACAATACACAACACAAAGACAAACTTCAAACCACTGTGCTATAGCACAGTATACTCTCACTCAGCATACACATTAAGACACATTGCAATTTGTACTAGAACTCCGCTCCTTTTCTTCGGAGGCCTGGGAACGAGCACAACATGTTCCTATATATCTTTATTTATTGACTAACCGTTATCACCAGGATATATATAGCATATACAGTAGTGGCTACCCTCCCACATGTTTCCAGTACAGTGGTAGCCACTGGAGGCTGTGTCTCACCTGGCGTCTTTCTCACTGTAGAACTCTCTGGCCACAATATCGTCAAATAGCTCTCCTCCTGTGATCCTACAGTACAGCAGGTGGCATCAGTTATAACTCACACATTATGCATCCCCCCAATCATTTATAACCGAGTGAAAATAATGAGGTTCACGCAAGTGTAACATTTTACACTACGTAACCAGAACGTAACTCTACTCTAATTTGGGCAGAACTAAAACAAGCTTGGTAAACCAGTCAGTAGACTTCCTTTGGTGTTACAAAAGCACTAAAGTGCAAACCGTCGGTGCAAGAGAGACAAGCACATGTGTTGGTCGCATCCTCCATGGGCCAGGCCACGCCATGCAGTAATCACCCAGTTTCCAACTCAACATGGGCTAGCTGCATCAGTGGTTAGCATTCAAGCAACACTGGACAGGATAACCTTCTTCCCTCTCGGCAAAACCCGATGGAGGTAAACCAGTGCTGATTATGCATATTTATTATTTGCTTTTTCGCTCGTTTTCACACCCTACGTATTTCTATTCCATTAAACGCGGGGCTTTCTAGATTAGACCACAGTAACAATAGAAAGCAAGTAAACTATGCCATAATAATGAAAAGCACTAAAGTGCAAACCTTCGTCGAACTGCGGTACAGCTAATACATGGGCTGGGCTATAATATTAGTATGCGTGGTCTCCCGCTTTGTAGCTCGCGGAGAGCCTGACACGGGCTAGAGACAGTAGTATAGATAGCATGCGGGAGTTGATACACACCCCTCGTTGCAACTTCTTGTGTCTTCATGGTACACTCTGCCAACAGATTTTGAACTTCTGTTGAATTACTCATGCCTTTACAGGGTATGTGTGTCTAGTAAGTTACAATAGATGGACTGTACACTAGGAATGTGGTTGGTAGTGGAGTATTGTCTTACAGGTCAAAGATCATGTAGCGAGTGTGGCTCTCCTGAAAGACATGGTGTAGCTGAACTGTTGCAGAGGAGGGGGAGGAAGTGGGAGGAGGGGGGGATAGGAGGAAGACACAACTCATTAAACAAACAATAGGCACATAATGGTAGAGAGTCAAAACTAAAACTATTTTACTAATGCACTATGGCATTGGCTGCCTACAAAACGTACCGCATGTTAGCATGCGAACAGGTACTATAGGTACACTCACTAGCATCGATAACTTTCTTCACACGGTTACATTCCCAATGAAAAAGCATGAAAATTATAGTTCATGCGCACAGGTACTACAGGTACACTCACTAGCATGCACGGTACCGCTAATTGATGGGTTGGGTCAAGAGTGTATGCATTTACTCGTGGTCTCCACGCTAGTACATACATAGCTCGCGGAGAGTCTGACACAGGCTAGCTACACTAGTAGGTAGCATGCGAGAGTCGATACACGCCCTTCGTTGTGACTTATTGAGCCTCCAAGGTACACAGAGAGAGCGGATCAGGTCGAGGTAAGTCCAGTGCGATAATGCATATTGGCTTTTTCACTTGTTTTCACAGCATATCTCCCGAATGCAGTCGTTTCAAGAAAATCGCCTTTTTGTATTTCCGGCTCGCGTAGTTCTGAAGCCGCTGTTATCGCTAAAAGGCCACCTCGTGGCCTGTAAGCGTCAACACACAGACACAGACAGACAGACAAACCAACTATTGCAGCCCTTGCTGCGCATGCGTGCCGAGGACACTACCTCAATCAACAATCCCACTAAGTGAGCTAATGTAAACGAAGGCAGTTTTTCTTACCAAAACATTGAAAGTGGTGAATAGCTTTCAAAATGGTAAAATTTGTTATTTCAATTCTCTTGAAACCCATCATGAAACAATGTCAAAAATTTCAGCCCCACCAAAACTCATCAACATCACTCTATATTGCACCCACAAGGACAGTGGAATTCCCCACTGTTAGTATAGTCAGATGACAGATTGCAGTGTCCCCTTCCCCTACAGACCACACTACTGTAGGTCTCATTATAACCTACCAGTGTCCCCTTCCCCTATAGACTTACTGCAGAACCTACCAATGTTGGGGTGTTTGAGCATTCGACATATCCTGGCCTCCCTCTCCAGCTTCTGCAGATCTGAGACCAGAAAAAATTGCACACTCATCGAGACAATTCACACATAAATTGGGCAGTACACTGTGTATGGAGAGTGGCAAACACATTTCCTGTTCAGATTTTACGTTTTTTTCAAGTTTCGCGTTCACTTTAACAAATTCATATCTGACGATTCACCTTCCACTTTCCATCCAACGTATTCACAGCCACGTTTTTCACATAATTTTGTTCCTTGGTGTCAGTACAACGTTGATGAACTGTCAGTGGGATCAACCGGAGACACCTAGTCAGAGAATAAACTAGCCATGCCTTCTTCTTCCGACTTGCCAGTGGTCTGTTTCACTAGCATTAACGTTCGAGTTACATAAAAGGCTGGTCTGTTTCACTAGCATTAACGTTCGAGTTACATAAAAGGCTGGTCTGTTTCACTAGCATTAACGTTCGAGTTACATAAAAGGCTCTTTAACCCACCGCCCCAGTTCTCAAGGCTGGGCACCTGGTGTCCTGCCGGTTGTGTGCAACTTCGTGGTTTGTGTCTGTGTGTGGGTGGAGGATGGGGGGTGGAGGGTGACTTCTGGTTTTTTTTCTTTGTTTTCTATTCTCTGTGGCTAGTATGCTATAAATATACTTTTCATGCACCTCTAGGATCTCCGAACTCATAATCTTTTCTCTAGTCTTTGAGGAAGACTCATTTCTTCTGTATGCACGCATGTGGGGGTAGCACACGAGGTTGCTGTCATAGCTACGTTGGCTAGCTCATGCTGACACTCCCTCCCTGGTAACAAGGATGACAGAGAATGGAAAGTGTACGTGAAGAATGTGTGAACGTGGATAAGTAATGGAAGGGAGTCGCAAAGGTAAACATGATCGTGAAATGTGAAAATTGGACCGTGAGCAGGGAATCCGAACAAGATGGCCACACTCTGCTTCTGTACACATCAGCAACAGCTACACATGCTCATCCACAATCATTCAAGTCCTCGTGCCACTTTATCAGTTTGTACTTTCTCTACCTCGGTAGCCTTGCCTTCCATGCATGGGCACTCACTTTGGTTTACACACACACACACATACAACCCACACATACAACCCACACTAACCCACATGGCTGCCTGACATTCCTGACCACTACACAACCAGCTAAAATTAAGGTATATTATACTAAAAGGGCTTGACTACTGAACATTCCGGAATGTAAATGCATAATTATACATGTGTATGAATTACTGTGAGAGTGTAGATAACTTTTCTCTTGAGACGCATCTGTAAAGCATAATTGCATATTTGCCGCCAATTTGCATGGGTGGGTGTGACCCTCGAGTTATGAATCTAACGAGATATTACATTAGGGGTGTGAACTGTATCTGGTGGACGCCACAATAAAATGCCTCACTGAACTACATATGGTTGCTCTAGGAATCACTAAGTAAGGTAGTACTTAGTAAATAGGGATGGGCATGGTATATGTATATCATTCTACTGCCATTCTACTGCTCATTCTCCTTCTACTGCCAGAACAAGTGTGAAAGGCTGAAATATTCAACAATGTCAAAAAGGTTCTTTGGTTTACACACATACATACAACCCACACTAACCCACATGGCTGCCTGCGATTCCTGACCACTACACAACCGCTAAAATTAATGTACTAAGGGCTTGAGTACTGACACATTCCGGAATGTAAATGCATCTTATACACGTGTATGAATTACTGTGAGAGTGTAGATAACTTTTCTCTTGAGACGCATCTGTAAAGCATAATTGCATATTTGCCGCCAATTTGCATGGGTGGGTGTGACCCTCGAGTTATGAATCTAACGAGATATTACATTAGGAGTGTGAACTGTATCTGGTGGACGCCACAATAAAATGCCTCACTGAACTACATATGGTTGCTCTAGGAATCACTAAGTAAGGTAGTACTTAGTAGGGATGGGCATGGTATACGTATCTAGAATCATAGATGTATAGGGATTTTGTTCATCGTCTTCTTCTTCTTAAACCAGCATAACTCATGAACCAAAACATGAAATTTTGTAGGAATGTACATGTATCAATAACCACATGTGCAACGTCATACTTTTTGTTTGTAAACAATGTTGTTTACTGTAAACAACAACAAAATTGCCCACACTGATAGCTGGTAGCACGCACTGAACCTTGGTACGTATGCCTATTATATCATTTCCATGACGATTACATGTTTCAATGACGACCGCATATTGTTTGACAAAGCCTCTGGCAATTTTCTTTAAAACTACTTCTTCACTCCTCAAACTTGCTAACTGTAGCACGCATGGAGGTAAAACCACACGCGTACATAATACATGACAACCACAACAACAAAGAGCCTCAGGCACTTTTCTTTCTTCACTCCTCAAACTTGGTAACGGTAGCACACATACCACACGACAACAGGCATTTTTCTCTATTATTATTTTTTATAGGGGGCTTGCCCCCTTTCACAGAGACATGCGTAGCAGTAAAATGAGAGGAGACAAGTAAATAAAAATCCTGCGAATTTAAAAGAGGCATAAAGGGAAACAAGATAGGGATGGGATACATGAAGCATGGTTAATGAACAGATGACACCCCCAACCACATCACACAATCCCTATAATTCCTGTTGCCTAGGTGAAGTATTAAACAATACTCAGAACAAAAAAGTTATGCAACTGAGTAACCAACACCGTTATAGAGTCCAAGTTTAAAGGGAAAGTGGCAGCATAAAATGTTACTAAAAACAACAGGGATATGGTGAAAGAGTAACCTTTAGCCCCTATAAGAGTAGCACACCAGGCAACAATATAGGGATTGTGTGACGGGGTTGGGGGTGTCAGTGTGCTCAAATCTGTTCATTAACCATGTTTCATGTATCCCATCCCTATCTTGCCTCCCTTTCTTTTTATACCATCCTTATGCCTCTTTTTTAAAATTTATTGTAGTATTATAGGCCGCTATACTGCATTGTCCGCCCTAGAAACCAAACTTGTAGTCTTCTTTTGAGGCACACACAATGCTGTATAACTGGACAGCAACAAACGGAAATAGATTTGGGAGGCAAGTTAATTAAGGACAATAGGTCAATCTTTTATCGAGTTTTCCAACTATATACAACGAGTAGCAGTATAAAATACCTCTGGCAGTAAGGCGGCGTGTGTTGAAGATCTTTGCAGCAAACTCTGCGTTGGTCGTTTTGTGCACTGCTTTCTTCACCACACTGAAAGCACCCCTGGGTAGTGTTACAGAAGTTTGGGTAATGAAGTTGACAGAGAAAACTCTGAAAATTTCTAAGTGCCACCTCTTGGGTGACATCACAATGACATAATCCTCATACCCGTTGCATGAAGAAAGAACAGAAACACAAGAGGCAGAGTAGTGGGTAAAAAAACATGGAACAGAAAAAATAATAGAGAATGTGCAGCAGGGGTGTAGTTAGGGGCACAACCCAATTTAAAACTAGGCCAGGAATGCTACCATGTACTCCACAATGATGAGATCATGGTCGTGTATGTATACATATGTACAGTTATGTACGTACAGTATACGTCAGATGCTAGTGAACACAGTTAGTGTAAAGGCACACGTTCCAAATGACATTTGAGTGCGAGTGCTTACCCAAAGAGCCAGTGAAGCTATAGGTTTAACATGTGCAGTGTCAAAATCGTGTATTATCATGAATTGCATTTTGCTGTGGGCAACCGAAATTGTTATTCACGAACATAATTATTTTCCAATGAAAATTCAACACCACTGTTCCTAGGAAATCTCTCATCTTTTCAACATGCAACAACCTGTGACTCAATGGACCAGTCTTTTACTGACAAATAAGGAGCAAAGCCTCCAACTAAAGTTTACGGTCATCTGTGCACGTTATAACAAATTTTCGGTATTTTGCGTAACTTTTCCGTAGCGCGCTTGAACCCCCCCGCTTGTCGTTATACTTGCCACGCCTTCTCGAGCGCGCTTCTTCTTCCGTATCTCTTCGATTTTTGCCCGTATATGGTGTTCGAATTACGTAAAATACGGATATAAATCGTTGAGTTGGAGGCTATGAAGGAGGGTGCCAGTTGACTTCAGTTTCCAGGATAAATCCCTGATTGGCTGGCCTCACTGCCCTAATATACACCTGCACTACTATTCACCAGCCAGTATGTACATAATGCAGTTGTCAGTAATCTACATAGGCTAATTTTTTGGGTGGTATGCAGTGTCTGGAGGTAAATTTTTTGCTCGATTTGACCCACCCTATAGGGAATTTAGCATAGGGCCAGCAGCACAACCAAAGTACCACTTGTACTTGCTTCAAATGCGCATTATTATACGCATCAAAACGCACTAGGCCATGCACGCACTGTTAGCCATCCATGCCAAGTGTACAGTAACGCGACGAGCGGTAGCTAATAGGAGCCCCACCGACCAAAATTACTACCTCCAGCAGCACGCCGAGGGATGACGGCGGAGGAAGGCCGCTGATGGCGCTATAATATTTAGCCCGGGCCGCAAACACGCACGGTCTGTCTTACTTGCCCAGGTCTTCAGCCAGCTGGTACTGCTCGCTGAACGTGAGCCTGGGATCCACCTTCCTAGCCATCGTCGCCTCCTCCTCGGCAACGCTCTCTTCTGCAGACCTGCTGGCACCTCCACCCAACTGTAACTGAGCTCAGAGCAAGGGGAGCTGAGTCAGAGGGGACGAGACTAGACGCAGAACAACGGAAATGAGGTAAAATTAAGCGGACGCGATGGGGGCAAAATAAAGGGCGGAACCACATCTGCGCATGCGCTGTTAGTCCATGGCATATACACGTACGTATACACAATAGGTATCTGACATTGAAAAATAATCTAATTTCACAATAATTTACATTCTAAAACATCACAGTATCACGTAAAGAAAACTATCAACAGTCCTATACTGCGTTGAGTGCACACGTAGAAGGTGTTTGGTGAGTGAGGAGAGGGAACTGTTTGTCACAGCGGGACGACAGGCTGACAGCCATCAACTGAGGAGACGGGGGGGCAGAAAAGGGAGAGAGGAAAGAAAGGAATGAATGGGAGAGGGTGAGTGAGGGATATATAATATACGAAGGTAGGATGTGAAAGAGACGAGTGTATAATGAGAGAGGGAAAATAATCCATCATCACAGTGAAATGCTCCAAATGACACCACACCCAAAATTACTGATGTTGGCATAGGAGTGGGTGACTGTGACTATCCATGTCATAAGCTGAGCCCCGTGTGGTCTGGGGAACGAGACACAGACTCATAGTGTGAAATTCTTCTTCTTCTTCTTTGTAACCTACACTAAAGGACCTCACCTCTTGCACACGCAATACAGGTACAGTAGAATATTTTTGCCTAAAGCTCTATTTCACTGCAAGAGTCATAAAACAAGTTATGTCTAAGTGGTTAACTGACAAGAATACCTTGGCTCCTTCTCTCCTACAATTCAACTAGGAGTTGGACAAAACTCAAAATGGGATGTTCACCCTCATAATGACACACTGATTGATCACGTACATAGTATGTACAAGCGTGCACATGTGGCGAAAGGCCTATCGTTCGTGGGTTTGAAAAGGAGAGACAGACAGACAAGGATTGATGAAAGAAGAGAGTGAGTTGTGAAAGGCACAGTGGGGGGGGTGGGAAGGAGGGAGGGAGTGACGAAGGGAGGGAGTTATGTAAGTGGTGACTGGTGAGTTAGAGCATAGGGGAAGAACCGACAGATGGAGCGAGGGAGTGATGAAGGAAGGTATTATAGTGAAGGAGGAGGGAGGTGTAGGGAGGGATGTAGTGTAATAGTGCAGCTGAGGAAGCATTTCAGTGTATATAGTACCATTCATCTAGTCGGTTGGATCAGTGACAGATGACTGCCCGCCACCTGCAGGGTCAGAGGTCAGGGTACGGAGGTGACCACGAGCCGTCTCCAGGAACAAGTCCACAGCTTCCAATTGTCTCCGTCGACCTGCCTCCTCTGCCTATTAGAGAGGAGACGTTATTAGTTACCCCTTCAATCAAAAACTGTGTAGTAGATTAACATTAAACAGGCCCTTCCGAATAAGGATGCCTCTGAAGAGGACACTTGGTCTTCCTCGTACTAGTGTATTGTGTAATATTATGCTCTGAATAGGGGACTATTATAAGGGACCCCTCGGACAAAAGGCCACTTTCAATGTCCCCAAGCACCATTGTTTGAAGGTTTTACTCTACAACTACAGTACACCTACTACATGACATCACTGGTAACTGAGACAGTGTCAGTTGCGGTAGCCATTACGACCATGGCCTATGGCCAAAAGATGTTCTGCCAGCTGATATGTTACACGCATTGCTGCACAACTCATAGCCATATACACAATGATGTGTCATCAACATTAATGAGGTCATAGCAAAGCAAAGGCAAAGAACAGAACTACACCCAGGACCACTCTACTTACAGCGTACACTAAACTGTACATGTACAGTACATGTGTAAGTCCAAAAAAACGTATGAATGGTCGGGTACGATAAGATGGTGTGCATGATATTGTATGGCATTGTACGGGAGTAGGGCATACAATAGACAGTGTACAGTGGAACAACACTACTCCAGCCACACTTGGGACCTGAAAAAGTGGCTGGATTAGCAATGTGGCTGGATCTCAGGGTAAGGGAATAATCAATAGGTTGGTCAGTCTGCCATGGCTGCCTTAGCTACGGTGGCTGCATTTCATAGGCTTGGATTTGCGAGGTTCCACTGTATATAACGCATGCAAAGGTCAATGCTTACCTTTTTGAGGTCATTCATTCCTTGCTGGACCATCTCAGTCGTTCTCTGGACAGCTCTCTCAATTGCAGCCTCTCCTCTCTCCCTCTCCTCCGAGACAGCTCCCCATCAGTAGCTCCTGTGGATAGGACAATAGTCTAATGGCTTTGGGTCACAAACTCACTCAATAACTATACAGTTACCATTATTGTAGCCTCAAAAACATACAAGCAGAATGCTATGTAAATGTGACCTTACGTATACATACATACAGTAGTACTCAAGTTAGTAGGTCACTAGGTTCCATTAGGGCTCATGGAGAGTAGCAGTCACATGCTTACATAGCCTCATAAACAAAAATGTTTAGGGAGTGCACGATATTCATAGAGGCAGCTATAGATGCACCACAGTACACGTGGAACTACATACTAACCTTACAATGTATTGCCTGGGACTATTTGTTGTTGTTTACAGTAAACACTGTTGTTTACAAACAGTTCTGAGTGTGACCTTTGACTTCTGTCTCTCCTCTTGTAGAGCAGCGGCAATACTCTCCCTGGCTCTCTCCCTCTCTCCCTCCATCTCAACACTGTGGGCTTCCTATACACAACACCATGTGGTAGTAATAACAGTTCCCATTGATACAAAAGGAACCATCAGAAGAAGTACATTGATTGTTTAGTGGAGTAAAAGCATACAGGCCGATGCCACATCCATTAGGCTACGGAGGCTCCCTGTAACATAGAGAGCTACTGTATTAGCCGTAGTGTGACTGGTATTCTGCTTCGGTCATCAACCCTTAAATATAGTGCCATACTTTTTGTAGAATTTTGCGAGTGCAGCACTCAACTCATCGCAATACATTACACCCATATACATAGCAAAGCGTCCCCACCACGCACATGTTACGCGTAAAACGCATGCACTGGAAAAGCAGCTATTTGTAGCTAAAAAAACCAGACATCACATTTTTCAGAATTGCATAGTGTGCCCAGATAAAAGGAGAAAAAATTTATTACATTATCTGACTAACGAAAAGCACACAAAAGTGCAAACCCTAGGTGGAGATGCGCAGTATACGCATTGCACTCTTACGCATTCGCAGGTCAGTAAAATTGATGGGCTGGGCTACTCCCTTTTTAATAAGTGTGTACATATTACAGCAAGTAAGCCTCCGAACGATACAATTGGAACTACTACTAACCTTGATGTCAGCCAGTAGGGCAGAGTTTTTCTCTCTCTCTTCAGCCAACACTGCCGATACTGCCTTCTCGCTAGCGGCTCGCTCCACCTGTACATACAGCAGTGGAGGGGTACCCATCACTACAGCTATAAATGTACCTGGTGTTAAAGGTGGTTGACAGTTAAAGGGAATGTGGCAGTATGTAAGGGCTAAATTTAGAAATGTTACTGGAGATAGAACAAAACAATAGAGGCACAGTAAAAGAATGCAATTGAGTTCCAACATTTCTAAATTTAGCCATTGCCACATTCTCTTTAAGTGATATATACCATACATTCTCACAACTGCTACCAGATTACCCCATACATTATGATTTAACTGTTAAAAATGAATCAATCAGTCACATACCACCATTGTTTCAGTCAACAAGACGTGAAGCGAGATGAACGGATTAACTAATCTGTGGTAACCCGGTAATGAAAGCTGTCCAAGCCAGCACTTATCCACTTACACATTCCTCATGTTGTGACGCTAAGGAGTAACACTACTCTCTCATGTTGGAAAAGGGCTCTTTTCACTGCCTACAATCTTTAGCCCTCCTAGTAGTATAGCATGTAGTGCACTTGCCCAGAAGCACAAGAGGTGGTTTGAATTAGCTTACACCTTTCGACGTACACACTCTCCTAGTTTACCAGGTATGAGACAAGAAGCGAAAATGTGGTATTGATTAATAAAATGGAGGTAACCCAATGAAGATAGCTATTAGTGCCAGCACTTACACGATTGTATAACTCAAGACTGTTGGATGATGGCATTAAAGGCAATGAGGCAATGTGGCAGTACATAAGGGCCAAACTGTTACTAAAAACAGAAACTTAATTGCATTCCATCACGGGCGATTGCTATTAGCCCTTATGTACTACTGACACATGTAGGGAGATGGGTTACCTGCAGAGCCTCCTGAAGACTGGTCTGGTGGTTGGAGAGAGCTTCTTCCATTGCCTTCTCCAGTAGCACCTGAGGAGGGGAGGGGAGGGAGGGGACAATTCCCAAGTTACAAGTACACTATCAGAACTCTACATAAAGGGTTCGTTGGATAACAGAGTACAGCGTATGTACACCAATGACTGGGTGTTTCTTACTGCATAACAACTAGGAAAGATTTGTGTTTACAACACTACTTGAACAGGGAAAAGTTCATGGATTGGCAGTCCCGCAATACAGATTTTTTTCACCTACAAAATGTTGAAGGGGAAAACTACATAGACGGCTAAAAGCTTCCCCAAAGTAAAAAATTCCGAATGCATCGACTAAAAATGAGCAAGGACATGTTTGTGTATTATACAGACAGAAAATGTGACCCGTTACGGGAAAATAACCCATTTGACACAGAGTTGTAACTGATAGTGTGCTGGGTTCACTCTTGGCTTTTAAAAAACTCGATAGGCACAAAAACCACACATCCCTACCCACAAAAAACTCTCTCCAGTGGCTAGAGCTATATATCTACTTGTGACGGTTGCACAGTGGGTGTGTCTACAGCAGTCACCACAGTGGTACAGGTCTAACCTTTTGCTCTGCAGCAGTAGCTTCAACTGCCTCTTTAACCCTGGCCTCAGATTCTGCTCTCTCCTGTTCCAGTGCTGCTGATAGTCTGCAGTGGAGATATGAACACAATTGAGATGTGTACAAGTAGACATGCGCAAAAATACGTAGTAATGCCATGTTCTAGAGCCACTGTGAAAGCTTTTAAACCGTGGACAGGGACAATAAAAAACTATCTGCAAAATATTTTTTAGATTTGCAATTATGAAAGCATCTTCAAAAAACATTCATGCTGCAATGGTATGGCAATAGACTCAGATGAATGACAGACAAATGTAGGAGTCACTACAGCTACAGGAAATTGCACAAACACATTGTACTTCTGACACCATGTGTAACAACCCAGCCAAAGAGTGACACAAATGGGTTCAGCGCTATCCTGGCTTATATTATACATTTGACAATTTTCGATCTTCGTAAACATGTGTTAAAGTTACAACGCAAAAATGTCTCTGCAGATGAACTGTCAGTTAGCTTCTCCGCTAGCTTCCACATCTCTTGAACGCATTTGTTTCACCGTTTAGTTTTTAATGCACTTGTAGCTGTGAAGTTTGTATTGCTTATAGGCCACTTAGTACCCTGTAGTGTCAGAATACATAGAGGCAGACACACACACTTAGTACTGTACCATCACAGCACATGCGTGCACCAAGAATTAATCGCCTCCTGTATAAACACTTGCTGATGTTCAGCAGTACAGTACGTGAAGCATACCTGGTGTGCTGTTCCTCCATCTTCCTCTCGGTCCTCTCTGCCTCTCTCTCTGAGAGGTCCTTGAGCAGTTTCTCACAGCGATCTCTCTCCTGTTGTACTGCCAGCTCTGACAGACCCTACACCACACAGTCACACACGGAGTAATGACACTTAAATTGCAAACCCCCGGCAAACTCGGTACCATTAATTGATGGACTGGGTTTAGTATGCGTTTACTCGTGGTCTCCTGCTAGCTCGCGGAGAGTCTGACATGGACCAGCTACCAGGGTTTCATTTAGGGGATGGTGGGGATGGCTCCCGCCATCACTTGGAGCTCATTCGCCATCCCTTGCCATCTCATGAATTATTGGAAAAAGTTAGACAGTTTAATTTGTATACTATTGAACCACTTCACAGCCAAGCCACAAATGCTTTTGATAATGCACAAAGCTACCACTTTAGCAGTAATGCATTTTTGCTTAACAGATTGCACCAGATGCGATCTCAGAAGCCGTAGAAATCCAAATTTTCCCAGACCCCCCCATCCACATGCTGCCTTCGTTGTGACTTCTTGTGCCTTCAAGATAAACAGAGGAAGCAGACCGGTTGAGGTAAGCAGGTGCTAATTTGCATATTAGCTTGTTCACTTAGTTTTCACGCCATAACTCTGGAACGCAGTACTTTCATGAATAAGAGTTTTACGTTATTCGCCTTCAATTCTTTGCCTTTGACCTTTCACGTTCATGTTTTGCAGCCGGCAATATGTGATCGAAGAAGAATACACCATGGCAGAACCCTAGCACAGAAATCGGCAGTCCTTTTTTGCAACTTTCGATGCCATAGGCTTTTGCTAAGGCTTAGGTTTTAAAAGCACGCTTTGCTACTCCAGGATAGGGTAGGGCGTGGCACAGGGGAAAAGTGGGTGTGGCACACATGTGGGGAATTGTCAAACAATGTCAACAGCAATTCCCATTTCTGTTTCCCCAGTTTCTCCATTTAATTGTCATATGGTGAAACGATCTGGAAATATTTTTGGCCTTGTACAGTCGTTCTGCCAAGTAACAGTATACGGAGATTAACAATTGAAAAAAAACGGAAAGTGTATATGTTTAAAATTTCTCCCGCATAATCAACGGAAACTATACTTCTGGTCAGTTTCTGCAGGCTCGTTCGAGAAGTGAGCGGCTCCCTGCATAAACTGTGCCAGCAGTTGTATACACACCTCTGTGAACACAACTGGGTCTCCGAGGGGGGCACAAAAAGTGCCCATGTTCCGAAAGCACTCGTCGGACCCTTAGTTGGCGGATGCCTCTGCTGCCGAAACGCGACGCGCCAGCAGCTTGAAACAACGCAGTATATGTAGACTCCATACATTATATACAGGCTGGCACAGTTTATGCAGGGAGCCACTCACTTCTCGAAACGAGCCTGCATAAACTCACCAGAAGTATACAGTTGCCGGTGATTACACAAAAGAATGCGGTCGCGTAAGATACATACATACATAACTTCCGATTCTCAAAAGATTTCCGTAATCTGTCGCATGGCGGTACGACTGTGTACCGCATGTGTCAACTACGAGGTTATGTAGAAAGGCAAAGCTACAACAAGTCAACACCACCCAGGACAGCTCTTTATTGCATTTACACATAAAATGGACAAAATATTAGGCCTGGGTGTGTTGAAGATACACTACATACCTTGTACTGCTCTACAATCATGGCAAGGGAGTCATGTCCAGCCTTTCGAATCTGCTCTATCTCCTCCCTGTGTCGAGCCTGCAGTAATTAATACACCGCGTGAGTGAAAAAGAACGTCAACACTTCACTAAGTTGTACACCCAACCCTACTCTACCCTTAAAACTGTACTACCCTGCTCGTCTCTTACCCAGCTTGTAGTACATCTTACCCAGCTTGTAGCCCTACACCACCCTATAGCTATAACCTCTATCCTTCCTCTACTCTGCCCTACCAAAACAATGCGACCCACAGTAGTATATACATAGTCACTGTATGGAAATCAATGCACAATGTAGTACCAGCCCACACAAAGTATCTACATACTGTACACGTACATTACCAATTTCGCTACAAGATGAGGGGGAACAAAATGTGTAATCACCAAGTAGTAAGAAATGAAAGACTTTTGGTTTCATGTCTGTGGCAAATGCTAAAAGCTTAACAGAGACAGTAACAGTACACGTGCCTCCATCTCAGCATATCTCTTCTTCTGAACCTCCACCGACTTCTTCTGCTCCTCTAGTTGTTTCTCTGTGTCCTCCCGACTCCTCAGTAGGGCCTCGTGCTCCTTTCAGTGAGAGAGGGAAGACATCCCCACACACCCCAACAGGTTGTAAACGTATGTAATACAGTTAAGTATGGGCACCAGACACCCGGAATGTGACACGATGTGACATTGCACGACATATACAATTCTTCTTTGCGGTATGTATGTTCACCAAAGTCATGCTCACGTCCTGTGCTTATACGGCATACATAGTAATATTTTGAGCCTCGCTTCAATTGCTAGGAACACACAATAGCAGGGAATCCTCTAGCAGATGTACTGGCTTTTGACGGTACAGCAGAGGTTGGGTGAGTTGAACATGTCAGATTCAACCTTTGAGTCGATTTTAGTCGATGTTTACACTGTTTACATTATTTTGTATCTGTGTCGAGGCAAAAACCAGGGACATTTAGAAGACCTCTACCCTTCCCCCTTGCCCAATCCCTCCTCTACAGTACACATTAATACATGCAACAAAACTTTATACTGTAAAATGGGTAAATGCTGCCCACAGTAACCAATCCCTCCCAAGGCATACATATGTAGATAGACACCAAGTATTACAGTGTATATATATATATGTAATGTATATACAGTTCGGCTCACATGTTGGATCCTCTGCTTCTCTTTCTCAAGAAGACTCATCTTTTCCTCAGCTGCCGCCAGTTTCCCGGAGAGCTGGGGGTCGTTGTTAGGAGACGGGGTAGGAATGCTCGCTGCCAGGGGGACAGTGTTTGTCTGAGTGGCAACGGGCGGAGATGGGTCGGAGGAGGGGGCATCAAATGGAGTAGTCTGCCAGAAGAGGAGAACATGTACATGTGAACCACATAAGCAAAAACCTCTGGCACGATTATGCGCCTATACATGAAAAAACATGTTTATAGCATACTAGCTCAGAGGAAAAGAAAGGACCTCCCCCACCCAAGCACACAAAACACAGACAATAACATACCCAAGCGTACAAAAACACAGACAATAACATATAAACAGAAAGAAAGAGGCAGGACCCTGGGTGCCCAGCCTTGAGAACCGGGGCGGTAGGTTGTAAGTATGCGTGCACACAGGCCTACAATTGCCTGAGATATGACGCACACACGTTAACGTTGTACAGTACGGTCCTAGGCCCTGGTGTGATGGCTGTCTTCGACTATCGGTCGGCTGTCCGTCGTAGTAGTAGCTACTCCTCAAGCAACACTTTACTTATCGCTCATCATTCCGTGTGACTACTGACAAATGCCAGTACTCATTAGCAATTGGTTTTTTAATGCCATTACGTAACCTTGAACCATACAATGTGCGTCATAAACAGGTTTCCATTACGTGAAACGGAACGGAACGGTCAGTCCGTTCAATTCCATTCATAACATTAATTCGTAATTCGTAAAATGTGTTTGACTTACTCCAGCTTTCACTGCCTCCTCAAAAGGATCAAACATGCTAGTCTCCTCCTTGGACAGTGTCTGTACAACATACAATACAACAGAACACACATGTTAGATCAAGTTTTGCAAATAAACTCTCAGCTTACTCCCAAGGCTTTCCTGATGCCTACACTATACACATAATATTGTGACTGTTACAGTCCTACTGTACATTGTACATGAACAAGCTGTAGCAAAGCAAGCTAGGGCACAAGAGCAAACAATTATAACCCAGGGACAAACTACGAAGCAATGTGTACACATCCCATTGGTCAATAATGCACTGGCTTTCTGTATGTATGTATTTATGTATGTATGTTTGTTGGATATCCTTAGGCAACCGACATGTATGAAGCTAGGTACTGGGGGATTGTATCAGCCCATACAATCCTAAATGTGCAAGCAGGGTTCATACATGTCATTTGCCTAGGGATATTCAACAAATCGGTTGCAGTACCCAGACAGGACAGCATTCGCCCTTACAGGGCTCATGCTGTCCTGTCTGGGCACTGCAACACAAATTATATATGTGTATGTATGTATGTATGTGTATGTATATGTATGTATGTGTATGTATGTATAGTGGGTGTTATTTGAGTGATGGCTTCATCGCCTATATATGTAGCTAGAGAAAAAAGGCTAAAGGCTGGCAAGAACTCTTGTCTGGGAAATTGTTCTCCGCACACAATTTAAAAACATCTCAGTGAATAGAACGACGTATAGTAAAAATTTCAACCGAATAAAGACTACAGGTTAGAGTTCATGTGTGTTTCAAGATACAGTATATGTATACCTGGTGGGTTGTGGCTGAAGAGGAGGTGGGAGGAGGTGTGGTCTCAGCAATGAAGGAGAAGGGATCGGGCTCAGGAAGCTGGGGGATTGGGGGTACACACACTCTCACACTACAAAATGTACGCACTTTCCTAATACATGTTGCTGTACGTAGAAAATGCTCTATCATTCTTCTACAGTACAGCAGAGAATGTATATTAAACTATACTTATGCAACGAAAAGCACTAAAGTGCAAACCCTCGGCGCACTGTGCATGCGCGGTACCGCTAATTGATGGGCTGGGCTATTAGTATGCGTCAACTCGTGGTCTCTCGCGGAGAGTATGACACGGGCTAGCTAAACTAGTACATACAGTACATGCATGTAGATGGCAAGCGGGAGTTGATACACGCCCTTCGTTGGTATATTGGCCTCCAAGGTACACAGAGCGAGCGGATCAGGTCGAAGTAAGCCAGCGCAATTACAGATGTACACATATTGGCTTTTTCGCTTGTTTTTACGGCCATCTCTCGAACGCAGTTGTTTATTGGAAATGGTCATTTTTTTCTAGGGCTCGCGTCTCTGTGGCAAGTAGCAAAGCCCCCCTCATTAAGTTTTCCTGCAGTTTCATGCTATAGTACCTTCTGAGGTTGTTGGGGAGGGGGAGGGGCAGGTGAGGAAGAGGCAGTGTCCTCGAATGCAGCAAACACATCTTGTGTCTGACTAGCAGCCGCAGGAGGAGGCTCAACCACCGCCTGTTGTGGTAACCACAGAGAGGTTCATTTTGTGGCCAGACTTTACAACTCCGCCAAAACAAGTTGATTAATGTGATGTCTATGTAGTTTATATTCGCTGATACACTTTATTTTATACAATACCAATGGCGGTCCAAGGCTAATTAGACACATGTAGTAAAGAATAGACTCATGTAAAAATGAGGATCAAAACAAGTCTTTTTTTGTACAATTGTAGATGGCAAGCGGGAGTTGATACATGCCCTTCATTGGTATTTCTTGTGCCTCCAAGGTACACAGAGCGAGCGGATCAGATCAAAGTAAGCCAGCGCCATTATGTATGCATATTGCCTTTTTCGCTTGTTTTCACGGCATACTGTACATCTCTCGAACGCAGTTGTTTATGGAAAATGGTTATTATTATTGCGCCGAGGGTTTGCACTTTAGTGCTTTTCGTTGCATAAGTATAGTTGTTCCGGGTCCAAACTGTAGCTTAGATACTGTGTAATGCCAGACAACTTGTAAGTGTGTATGTTATAAGTTCCCAGACCCTCTTTCCCTTGCAGAGGGGCGGGGTCTGGTAACGAGACTAGCATCATTGTAACTGTTCCACCAATTACTCCAGCTACATAAAATAACTTGTTCGTCCAATGACTCTCGATCATGAAACGAGACACCAAATGCAATAGACAAAATGCCAACAGCTGGCAGTACAATACCACTGTATGTATGTTGTACCTGTTGACTGGGGGTGGGTTCTTTAGTGGGTGGTGGTGCAGGTTCAGAGGTGGAGCCTGAACGAGACGGCAGGGACTGTGATAGAGAGAGAGAGAGAGAGAGAGAGAGAGAGAGGGGGAGGGAGGGAGGGAGGGAGGGAGGGAGCGAGATTTGAGAGAGAGCTGACGTGTGGCTATTGAGGGCTGAGGGATTTTGTCTTCCGCTCTTCCGGTGATGGGATTCGTAGGAGGGAGAGCGACTCTGGGCGGTGGAGTCAGAGAGAGGATATTGTCAGTGACCGAGGGAGCCGGTCATGAAGGAAAACAATTTACTTGTGACAAGATCACTTCATCGTACATACATTGTATGAAAAACTCATATCCCAGTTAAAGTGAATGTGGCAGTATATGAGGGCTAAATTTAGGAAAATGGAAACCTAATTGCATTCTTACACTGGGCCCTAAGCTTTAGTTTTATCTTTAGTAACATCTAGCCCACAGTACTGACACATTTCCTTTCAAGGTTTACTTTTCTCAATCATAAGAAATTAGCACTAAAACACAATGAGCGTGAGTATTGAAGTGGTCTGTACTGTAAGTGCGGCAGCCTCCTTCCAACACCAATGGTGCTAGTGACACTGGCCTCCACAGAGCTCAAAATTAGTGAACAAATGAGGAATTAGCCTTGCAAATTTTCTTGACCCTACTGTAGCCAGTACCCTGCAGTAGTGTATACACGTATGTAAAGCCAGACTAAATGAAAAGCACTAAAGTGCAAACCCTCGGCGAACTGGGAATGCGCGGTACCGCTAATTGATGGGCTGGGCTGCTATTAGTATGCGTTTACTCGTGATCTCTCGCTAGTAGCTCGCAGAGAGTCTGACACGGGCTAGCTAGCTACAGTAGTAGATACACGCCCTTCGTTGTGCCTTCTTGTGCCTTAAAGATACACAGAGCAAGCGGACCCGGTCGAGGTTATGTTGAAAATATATGCGCATGCGCGTTTTCCGCAGCGATAAAAATGGCCGACTACGCATTAGCCGCAGAATGCCGGAAGCGCTCTAGCTTTGCAACGGAGCATTTTCAGAGAAAACCGCCTTTATTTTCTGACCTTCGTCGCCCGTTGGATAGATGGTATCGTTTCTGGGACGAACAGACATTCGAGAAGTGAGATTGAGAGTAACAGACAGACAGACAGACAGACAGACAGACAAAACCCAACTACAGTACCCTCGCTGCGCATGCGCGCCGAGGGTAATAATTGCTGTTTTGACCAATCATGTAGTTTTAAAAACTGGTGAATTGTACAAAAAAAGGAGAGAACGACAGGAGATCGACAGGCATGCGAGATGCAGTACTGCTTGGACTATGCTCATGTAACATTATG